AAGGATCGAAGGAAAAACGAGGAGTAGACGATTCTCGACGTATTAATGCGTGGATCCTATCTTAGTTTAACCGTACATAATAGGCACGAGAAGATAAGCCGAAATAGATATTTTCGCCTTTGTCGACGAGGCACGAGCTCGATCTTCTGCCTTTGATCGCGAGATATAATCCGGAAATCTCATCTGCTCGATATCAATCGCTACGGGTAAGGTATTTTTCATTTTCACTCGGTATAACGTATCTAACGCTCGAGATTTTAAGGATCGTCGTTAAGTATTATATTATCGTTACGTTGCGAGCGTGTGTGTAGCAAGATTATTTCCTCGCCCCTCGAAGCTGAGCTGCTGCTGCTGCTGCTGCTGCTGCTGCTCTCCGAGTGCGCAACAAGCTCATTAAGCCATGCACACCACCAGTGCGATACACGTACGTGTAGCTTATTAAACTGGGGCTGCTGCTGCTGTTAGCTCAGCGCTCCATATTATCATTATTATTATTATTATTATTGTCGCGAGTGTCTGCGTGCTCTCGGCAACTCAATAACGTATATATTTTGCGCTCTATATAGATATATTGAATTAATCGCGCGAACCGAGGTGTATGTATACGCATTTGCGGGGTATGTAAGCAAGACGCGCGCCCGAGATATTTATCGAATCGCGACCCGCAATTTATGTACACAAGAGATGCGCGTTAATATTCGGGAAATTACAGGGCTGCGGGGCTAAATAATGTCGTCGCAGGCGCACGTTTGTACTGTAGGTATACGTGCCCGGCCGTTCGCGGCTCGCGGAGCTCGCGTACATGATGCGATGATCGACGACCGAGCGATATTGCGAGTCGGAAATATCATTAAATGAAGAGGGGGAGAGAGAGAGACTGATTTCTTTGTTACTTGAAACGTACGAGTGGCTCTCATTTACAATTCACTCGACGCTTCTACAGCTGGATAATTTCAACATTTCAAGCACGAGTTGAAGTACACGAGCTTTTGCACACAATGTATATAGAGACTACTACTGGGTGCAGAAGAGACTCGTGCGGCTGCATGAATCGGGCTAATTACTTTGATTCGTAATACCTCGGATTTGAAACTCGCTCGGACGCGTTGCGAACACACGAGGCGTTTAGCGGCAGTGGGCACCGTTGCATATGGGTAGCACTGAGATATATCGCTTCATTGAATTTATCGTTACATCGAGCCGACGTGAGGTCAATTTTTTTAATTGAATTTTGTTTTATTTTTAAAATTTGTTTTAATCAAAATCATTAAACTTTCTTTGGGAAAACCAAAAAATCACAATCATGTATACTGTGTTTAGACTTATACGTTTATATTGACTTTACCACTTGCAGATTTACGGATAAAGTAATTAGTCTCCATCTAGTGATAGGATTCAAAGTTGTGTTGAACGGTACTTAAAGTAGTTGAAACTAGTCTGAATCTTTTAAACAATTGAATGGTCTTTTTTAGCTTATTATTGTAACAAAAAAATTGTTAAAAATAAGCCAATTAATGACAAGGTAATTTAAAACATTTTTATCATTCACTTTTTGTTTATTAGAGCATTGTTAATTTTGATCGAGACGGCTGGACAAGTAGAGTCATAAGTGAAGTTAAGTTTACTACAGTTCTTACCAATGATATTATAAATTATTGAATTATTGTATTAAAAACTTTACAGTGTGTTTAAAGTTTGAAAAATGAAAATTTCATTTAGACACAAGCAGTTTAATTCACTATTAATTAACTTTATTGTAAAATAATAGTTTAGTTATTGTAACGCATAAACTGATCTAAAAGCTGCTGCGTAAGAAAAACAAGAGTTAATAATCTGAAAATTAAAAGAAAAAAAATAGGAGATTGTTATAATATTTTGTTTAAAACATTGGCTTCGCAATGTCTTCTTGCCATTAACTTACAGAACTGCAGGTTTCAAAATTTAGCTCAACCAGTGGTCCGGCAGTTAGGGCAAAAGATTTTTCTGTTCTCATCATTATGAATAATAATGTCTTTCTTATTTTTGGTGGATAAATTTCAAAATGTAGGTTACAGCTTTTATAAAAGAGCACTTTTAAATTACTTTTTAATCACTTTTTTAATGATAAATAATAAAATTAATTAAATCGTGCAAATGTTACCTGGTGAGGAACATGTTATCGCTGGCATTCGTCACTATTTGGCAAGGAAAACAAAAGAGGAAAATAACCACTATAAATCCACAAGTTGTAACAAACATTCTACCTGCGGCCGCCAAGTCTGTATCGATCGCAATCACCATCTTTTTGAAAAAATAAAATATAATTGTAAAACGAAAACATTTTTAGAGCTCAATCTTTGAACTTCAATCAACGTTTTTTTTTCGTACCGAGCTCGTTGTCAAGATCATGCAAGAACAAAGAATAAGCAGTATAGCGAACAATATTGGACTGGCTAATCCATCAAAAAATTCATAGAAACTAAATAATTATTAAATATTAGACTCACATTTGAACAAGTATAACGAAAACTTACTCTATGACAGTTTGGTGATATTGAATAAATTCTTTGAGCTGTAAACGAACCCAATTATTTGCACTTTGATCACTCATCGAAATTTTGTAACTGTACTCAGCATCAATTTCTTTTAATAAATGTCTGAAAAAAAATTCAATGTATGTTTCGGTTTTGGGGAAAATCGCAGTTGTTTAATCGTTTTTTAATTATAAATTACGTACTTCAAACCACGAACCCCTCCAATAATACCAACTAAAGATGTACAACAAATAAAACACATTGCACCTGCTATGATGCCATAATCAGCTAGACAAATGAATTCGATTATAAATATTATGAAAAAATATTTGTCTTCGTTAACCAAGAATTTTTCATGAAGGGGCAAAGCTTTTTTAAAGGTTTTATTGCCTGAATTTATTAAAGTCAATAAATAAGGTATAGCTACTGGAGCTGACCCATAACCAATACAAAGTATAACTAGAAATACTGGAAAGAAAAAAAAATACTGTAAGACTTTCAAAAATATTGAAGTGAATCAATTTGAAAATCGAACTAATATTAACTAGTTTGAACAGCGGTAAGATAGTATCCTTTAGATGCAATCTCTAAAATAAATTTTTTAATATCTTCGGTGGATTTATACCACATTTGAGCCATCATGAACACCAACTAATTTATTATAATTCAATATAATTGATTTAATTAGAACAATATTAAAAATGTTATTACTTTTAAATACTACCCTTCTATTATGTGCTTTAATGTATAAGTAAGCGCACAACAATCCTACAGTAGCGAAAAGCTGAAATACAGCTTCAATCATAGAGTTGCTAAAAATGCCTATTTCTTTCCTCTTATTTCGGATCCAAAGAGTCTTAAAATGTTATAATTATTACTTAAAAGTAGACGAATATGCTCGATGAATAATTACCGTAGTTATTAAAGAAAGACATTGCAGTAGACAATGACAAAGGATTCCAAGTAGATAATAAGTACCTTGGAACGGTTTCAAACAAGTGATTTTTGACATGAAATCCAATGTAGGAAAAAAATTTGACCACAATTTGTCGAATCGAACATCAATATTATCAGAATCATTTTTCCTACTTTGAAAAAATCATATCATTTCAAAATTATTTTTAAATTATATATAAGACATTTTAGCGCCAACTGCAAATTTACTTGGAAATACTCTGCTCAGCTTCACACATGATAACGTAGAACTTAATAACTTATCAAGGCTTAATTTTTTATAATTTACACTTAAATATTTTAAAAATTTTATCGTGTTAACCATTCTAGACCACAACAGTAAGTAAATCTTGAATCTCATTTATAAGCTTTAGAAGTGGTTAGTATGGATATTTTTAAATGCATTAATTAGATGGTGTAGCGGCTGTTGTTCTTTATAACAATACTTACATACGTGTAGGCAAGTAAACATGTAAAGAACGTAATATTAAATTTTAAAAAAAGTAGTGTAAATAAAAAGGGATCTTTCGTTCGTAAATTTTTTTCGTTTATTTCCGAAGTAATTTACGAGTAATATTTTAACTCATTAAGTCAGGATGAGGTACTTTTTACCACATTTTTCAACCGTTATATGTACCGTGAAAATTGGGTCCGAAGTTGAGCAAACCCAATTGAAAATATTATGAACTTTCAGAATTTGATGTTAGATTCTTGGAAAAATTTACAGATAAGGTTACACATAATTTTAAAAATGGAATTGTTTTCGCTAAAAAATTTTCTTTATATTTTTTTACCATATTACTACCATTTAAGATTACAACCATTTAAGATATAATATATGAAGTTTATACAGCCTGGCCTTGAGACCTAGACTCGAAGTTATAACGATTTAAAATAAAAAAGAAGGGTGAGGCACACAAAAAGTGCCATTATAAATTTTATAACAAAGTCAAATTTAGTTTTTTTCATAACATTTTCATTTTTTTTTGTTCTCAATGCTCTATCAAATTCCTAATGTAACAAATTTACAGTAATACACAATGATCCCTACTGTTTCTTGCCTGTGTTCATTGTACTCACTATTCTTTTGAAGTGCGAACGAAGATCAGTCGATCTTTGATGCGCATTAGCGTGTTAATATTTAATTGACGCAATTTTTTATTGCAAAACTGTGTTATACAAGCATTGGTAGTTTATATTAATATTAAATTTTTTTATAATTTTACTCGATGTGATAAGGAGAATATTTATACTTAGTTTTAGAAAGTCGTAAAAATACCTCGAGCAAACCGTTGTCAAGTTTGAATTTTAGGCTGGTTCAAATATTGTAAGAATAATATGTAAACAGATAAATCGGTACCCTAATTGTAAACAATATATGATCTAAAACAATTTTGAGACTGGCCCTGGAACGCTGACCATATTTATAGTAAGATCAAATGGGTATGGAAATCAATACTAAAAGATAAATTCAACTCATTCAATTTTCGAGGCACTAAATAGAAGGATCCTTGGTTTGAGCGGGGCACCAAAATGGATAAAAGTGAGAAGGTATCTGAGGAAATCGTTTCAAAAGATAACTCAAGTGAACACGACTTTGTTGTTTCAAGCGACAAAATATACGCTTGTGATATTTATCAGGAGACATCTACATTCGAATCAAGAATGATAACACACCGAGACACAATTCACAATGAACGAAAGGATTACTCATGTGACAAGTGTGAAAAGAAATTTGAGTTCCGAAGTCATTTGAGTAGACACAAAATATCAGAACACAAAAATTGCAAAGATTTGGCATGCGATAGATGTCAGAAGAAATTTGTGAAACCATCGATTTTGTTTACTCACCAAAAATTAGTACACAAAGATCGCGAAAATTTCACGTGCCAAAAGTGCGAGAAAAAATTTGAAAATAAATCAACTTTACTTAAACACAACAAAATATTCCACGAAGTTTTCAGAGATTACTTGTGTGAAAGGTGTGCCAAGAGATTTGGAAATAAACAGAGTTTACTCTTGCACATAAAGGCAGCACATGAGCGTCGCAAAGATTTTGCATGTAACAATTGCGGAGAAAATTTTATTGAAAAATTACATTTGCTCTTTCACCTGAAGACAGTACACGACGGTCGCAAAGATTTCACATGTGACAAATGCGAAAATAAATTCACCCAAAAAAAGAGTTTGCTTATTCACCAAAAGACAGTTCACCAAAATCAAAAAGATTACGCATGTGATAAATGCGAGAAGAAATTTAGCCGTAAACGGAATTTACTCGACCATCATAAAACGGTACACGAAGGTTGCGTTATAGATTACACATGTGACAATTGTGAGAAAAAATTTACACAAAAATCGAGTTTGCTCTATCACCAAAGAATAGGCCACGAAGGTCAGAGAAATTTCCCATGTAACAAATGCGAAAAAAAATTTGGAAAAAAAAGTATTTTGCTCTCGCACACAAGAACAGTCCATGAAGGTCGCAAAGATTTCGCATGCCACAATTGCGAAATAAAATTTGGGATTAAATCAGATTTGTTGAAGCACCAAAGAGTCGTACATGAAGGACGAAAAGATCACTTATGTGGCAAATGTGAGAAGAAATTCGGACGAAAAGCTGATTTGTTGGTGCACCAAAAAGCAATCCATGAACGTCGCAAAGATTTCACTTGCGACAATTGTGAACAGAAATTTACACAAAAGAAGAGTTTGTTCAGCCACCAAAGGACAGTACATGACGGTTGGAAAGGTTACGCATGCGACAAGTGCAAGAAGAAATTTGGGGAACGGAGCGCTTTGACCAAACATCAAAAAGTAGTCCATGAAGGTCGCAAAGATTTCGCATGTGAAAACTGCGAAAAGAAATTTACACAAAAAGTGCATTTGCTAAGGCACCAAAAAATAGTTCACGAAGGTCGAAAAGATTTCGCATGTGATAATTGCGAGAAAAAATTTGGACAAAAAGAAAATTTGCTCAAGCACCAAAGGACAGTACATGATGGTCGCAAAGATTATGCGTGTGACAAGTGCGAGAAAAAATTTGGACAAAAAGTGCAATTGCTTAGACACCATGAGAAAATACAGGAAGGTTGCAAAGATTAAGTATGCCACAATTTCGGGAAGAAATGATATTGACTATTGTAAATATATATGGATATATTAATAGATTTTTTTTAATCGTCGATAAAACCTTCGTTAAAATGATTGTGTCCTACCTGAATTTCGCATACTATTAACCATCATTACATTTTTGTTTACTGTGTTGGTTGTTGCTTTGTTGGTTTTTTGGATACTTGCAGCTTTTCAAGCAACGATCGACAATTTTTTTACGTCTTGTTTGAAGCTGTAAATTGAGAAAATTTTGAGTCGCTACTAGATTTTTAATAACCCTTACGTAAAAATATAGTCGTTATGAATTTTAATCAAACATACACTTGTAAATTTATGTCAAAAATCCGTGGACGAACACTAATTATTTTTGCTAAGAGAAAAGTGATCGTAATTTGGAAGGATTTTCTAAATAATTCACCATTATCTTTAAAATAAAAACTACTTATTGCTCATGCAATGTTAACCCGAAACATTATTTCTTTGCGGATAAAATAAAATGAAAGCTACATCAAGATATTTTATCATTAAAATAGATGTAAGCGTAGCATTTTCTGATATATAATGAGTGCATTCAAGTTATGAAAGTTTTTTCGAATCTATCTCAAAGGGAAGATAGCCAGCAGAAAACGAATTCATGAATTCAATTTACACACATACTCGCAAGATATTTCAATCAGTGCTGCTGCAAGCTAATGATATGAATCAAAGCCACGTACACAAGGCGCGAGCTTGCAAGCTCGAGATTCTACTGTCTGAACGTCAAAGATTTTTAATCTCTTATCGAAAGCTTAGCCGGCGGGTGTTTGGTAGGATTTCTCATCCATCGAAAATATGTAAAAGTCTGCTTTTAAAACGCTCTTTTGACTTTAATTTCTTTTCGTAAGCAGAATTTGAGCTTTTCTCTAGGCTTCTCCAGCTATATGCACGAATTTTGCAGTCATCATACGCTTCGATAATTACGCGATCGCGCGAAATAAATTCATACAATTCAACTGACCCGAGAGTATGCGCGATGTGTGTAAGTTGGCTCTATAAGCGATTGATTTTTTTTTCCTGCACTTCCAACTTTCGCATTCGAATGGAACTTGTAACTCTTGATTCGGACGAATTGTGCACATGCGGGTACATACTAATATAATACACACAAATGCTGCTGCCACCGCTGCTGCTGGGTCAGCGACGCGCGATCTATAAACTCATCGTGTGTGTGTACGTGTGCTGTGTGCGAGTGGACACTGGGCAACGGCGTCCAATTTTGTGTACACGGGTGCGTTCGAATGTATATATATGAACTTGAGTACGCTCGGACTTTCTCTGGCACTATGCACCCGGCTCGCTTTCTATAGCGCGTTCTATGTCCCCGCGCGTGTCTGTGTGCAGTGTCGTTTGTTCGAGAGAAGCACAGATTCACGTACTATACATGTACGGACGTGCACGCAAATGGAGAGAGCGAGAGAGAGCTTGGTTACGTAAAACGACCGCTATAGATGCGACTAGAGTGTGAGAGAGAGAGAGAGAGGACGGTGGTACAGTCCTGACTCTCCTGACCAATCGATATCCTGCATCTACTCTGCACACAATCTTCTCCGCTGCACATCACACGACGCGCGGAGTACAGATAGATAGGATGGAGAGGCAAGAGAGAGAGAGAGAGAGAGAGAGACATCGCACCCTATTATGCTTTCTTGTTATTATGTAAATACGCTTACTCCGCAGATGCCGCAGCCGCAGCCACGCGCACTGACACAATTTTGAGATTTAAGCGGCGCTTCGAAACGTATACATAGTACACACACACGTGACCCGATCGATTACTTATTCCATTAATTTTCGATTATTTATTTTCCTTTCGACGCTATTAATTTCCAACTAGGTATATTCCGCCTGGTAGGAAGAAGAAAAAACGGAAGATTCTTTTTTGTTCGAATTTTATTATAATTTTTTTTATATCAAAATATCTACAAGACATTTGCACGAAGAAAAGCATAAATCTGCTCTTCGGTGTATTGTAAGTGGGCAGTACTTCGAATTACAATTATAGTTTATATTTCATTTTCCTTTCGACGCTATTAATTTCCAACTAGGTATATTCCGCCTGGTAGGAAGAAGAAAAAACGGAAGATTCTTTTAACTGCTTGGAAAATCTGGTTAACTAAATTCAATTAGCCTATGCTTCGACTTATATGATTATTTTAACTTTTCCTCTTGTAGATTTACTTCGCAACGGGTACTCTCCATCTAGCGGCGAAGATCAGCTTTAACAATGATTGAATTTTCATACATTTACGCTTGAGAGAGACAGAAAGAGACAGAGAGAAACTACGACGTGAATGGCTTTACGGAGGCATACGGGCTACTGTAGTGAACGCGTCGTACGATCGCTCATTAGAAAGTATATTAGTCGCGCGTGTTCGTAGGGCGATGCGCGCACATGGGTCTTTGGACCCAAGCGCCCATCGAATGAACTTTCGTGCATGGAAATTGATTCAGAAACGAGAGCGCGTTATATACTGAAGCTGGTAAAGTGTAATTAATGCATGCAGTTATCAAATAAAGTTAACCCTTTTTTTACCTTAATCATTTGGGCTATAATAGAATGACTAGTACTACTTATTATCAATTTTAGCAGCTCATAAATTTACATTTTGCGGTAAATTGTTTTAACGTATTATTAAAAGAATAAATAAATAAATAACGATTCAACCCACTTACAAGTATAATCTAAACAATTTTAATATTTTTTGATGATTCGTTAATTTTATTAAATTTAATTAATTTGATCGTTTCAATATAATGCATTATGAAAATTGCATCTTTCCCGCGGCTTTTAGGCTCGTGTGTTATAAAATATAGCATCCAACTTGTGCAAATGTACTTTATCAACACAACTGTAAAGGAAAAGCACATCTTCATTTTGTATGAATACACATCAATATGTATTTCGATAAATTTCGAAATATTTTTGTACGCACGCAATGCATAAAATGTAAAATATAAAATACGCACGCATGCAAAGTATAAAATGCGTCAACTAAAATATTACGGTCGCTGCTTATACTTATATAATTATTTTTACTTTGCTACTTGCAGATTTCCAGATAATGGTACTCGCCACCTGGTGACGAAGGATTCAAGTGTTATTAATGAGCTTAAAGTGTCTGAGAAGTGGTTTTTAATTTAATTGAAATAATTAAATTTTCATTTTCAGCTTATTTAAAATGCGCTTAATATTTTTAACATAATTATAAAAGAAAATTCGCCTAAAAACAACCTAGTAAATTAATAGTAATGTATGTAAAAATAATTGCAAAAAATCAAAGCACGGTGTTGGAGAAATTGATTTTTTGTATTCTGTTGGTATATAAAAAATTGTTAGCCAAAAAAAAACGTTGAGCATTAGGTGGTTATGAAGCGTTACAGTTATCGTTGATATAATACGTCCGGTTTTGATAATCCTTTCATGTCCCAGAAACTTTTTCGTTGTCAAAATATTAGATATAAAATTTTTGGCATGTCTACTAGGGGAATTCGTGCGAATTTTTTCAATTAAAAAAAAAAAAAAATGTAAGTTAGAAGACGATAAATTTTTTAATAATTATTCGCAAAACAAATCATTTTGACCCGTCCTTATCTCCAGACCAAAGCTATCGATTATATAACGATAAATTGCGCTTAGCATCTGCCGCCACATTATTCAATATTTAGCAAAGATTCAGAAGTGTGAGGAGAGGAAAGAGAGCAAGGAGAGAGAGAGAGAGAGAGAGAGAATCAAAAAAACTTGATTAAGAGACACGCTCCGGTAAGTACAAATACACCCGAGGCATCTTTAATCGAGCCACGCGCGCGTCTCACGGTCTTCTTATCATCGATTGCGAAAAATTAATTAAGCGTCAATTATTATTTGCTCTCGCGTATTTTTAGACGATATATAGCTGTGATATAATATACAATCCAGTGCGCTGGATTAGCAGCGCAGAACATTTCGTTCGCGTTAGCCGTGAAGACGTCTTTGAAGAGTCGCCAGTGCGACTCCGAAAAGGCACTTGTAACAATATCATCTTATCAAATTCAAGGCGGCGCATAGAGAGCCGAAGAAAGACGAGAGAAACGAAGGAGAGAGAGAGAGATCAGAAAAGAGACAGAGAAAATATATACGTATTTTTCGCGAGTCAAGGGCTTAATAAATTAGGCTTGCGCGCGCGCGCAAAAGGTGAGCCGCACACAGGGTTGAAATATGAAGAAAAACGACGTCTTATCTGCCAACGGAGCCGTGTGGAAATTAATGCCCCTGAGAGTTTCTACGCATACACATAGAGTATTTTTCAGCTCTACGCTTCTTTTCGCGACCGCAGTCCTGTGAATTCTTTTTTCGCCTCTATGATTTTTGCCGCTAATTGAAAAAGACATGTATACACAAGCTTTGTGTTACAGTTTCTTTTACATATAGAGATGCTACAACCCAACGAAGTATTGATTAAATTCGGTTTTGCAAAATTCGCTTGTTTTTCACGTACCATGTGGTACTTAGTTCGATCGGCAAAACGAATCGATCGAATTAGCGCTCAATCAATCGAGAAATCGAATAAACTCGAGCTCTACGTATATATATTAAAATTGGAGCGAGTCGAGCACGACGTATCTTCGTAGTAAATTTGAAAGCCGCACACCCATAGTACTACTCCCATATACGAGTTTATACGTATCGCATGGGAGATGCCACCGACTGCTGCTGCTGCTGCATCATCCTCGTGTTTTTGCCCCCTTCGCGAGCGTTATGACTGCGACAATGCGCGTTTCCATCCGTGCGCGTCGCGATGTGTGCAGCCAAAACTTATCCCGCTGGCGCTGCCGCCGGATTTCGAGCTGGGAGTTTCGTTGTATCCTATATAGGCGACGCAGAGACGCGACGGCGGCAGTCGCGCGCGGTGGCAGTCGGAGCCTGCACTTTATTTTGGCGGGACTCGGTGGCGCCGCGTGTACACTCACCCCGTCGTACATACTACCTACCGTAAAATACTCGCTGGTCTGAAATGCACCTCGGCTATTCGAAAGGCCACGATACACCACTATTATGCTGAATATCGTGTGCAAATACGACGATTATAAATACGTGGTGGGCTTTTATAGCGACGCTATTGTATGATGAATTCGAAAGCACGGCTCGAAATAACTCCTTGAGCGACTGAACAACCATGATCCGAATTTATATATGCGTTTCACGAGAGACAAGAGATTTCGCTCGACAGCGTTGACCTTTTTTTTTACTGAATAAATATTTCAGCATGGAATTCGAAGGATCTTTGGATTTTGTGTATTGTACAGCGGCCGTGACAAATCTCGAGAGCGAGCTTTTATTCGAGGGCATTTTTTCGATCGCGGAGCATCAGGGCTGCGATACGCGTGTGTGTGTGTGTGTGTGTTCGAGAGAGATCGAAAAATCTTGTCGCGTACGTTCTTTTTACCGATACAGAAATCCACGCGGTATTTAAGAAAAAAAAAATAATGTCGCAAATAAGTTTGCGTGGTAATCGATCGTTCGATTCCACGAAATCGTTTTTTAATCTATCAAATAAAAGCTATGCAGCAAACCCTACATCGAATCGATAAACCGAATTAAAACTTCGAATCCTCGGAGTTGATCCGATAGAAAACAGAGAATTAGAGCGCGCCCATTAGTTGATACCGTTTCGAATGGAAGCTCGCGCGCACGTATGTGGACGAATGTATGCGTCGACACGCACTTTTCACGGCGCCTCTCTCCAAAATATCCCGTCGTATTCATGCATAGTCACGTTAAGAACCGCTGTCAATAAATTGGGAAAAGAGAGCTTATACCGAAAAATTTGATAATCTCGTTTTTATGTTTGAAAATGTTAATAAAAGAAAAAATAATTTTATTTGAAAAGTGATAAATTCTAATAACATTTCATTTAGACATTTTTTTTCAACTGTTTGCTCGGACGAAATTAGACAGAAATGAAGACGTATTAGCATTTCAAATTATTCAAATTCATATTTCAGTGTCACGTTCAACATAATACATATTCGGCCGCGAAATAATTTTGTCTCGTACGTGTTAATAAATCTTTTCAGTGATTTTTATAAATACTGCTTTGATGCAAGCTCTGTACGGATAGAAAAATTGCACTGCACGCGGAAAAATTCTGGTCGGCGCATCGAGTAACCTTTTATGATGTGTTAAACTTTGAATGTTGCCATTGCTAAATTAGCTAAATATGGAAAATAATTCGTAAAGACTATTTGAAGTGGGATTGTGCGTAAGTAAAAGCCTTTTCTAATTCATTGAAAGCGAGCCTCTTTCTATAGAAAATAAGTATTTAAACATCATAGTCAAGATTATTGCACTCAGTCACAAAAAAATTTATTTCGAAAAATCGAAAAAAAAAATTTCATCACAATTTCGATTTGTCGCTAATGAGACAATGTGAGGACATCCATGTATCGCAGTGAACTACTGCGTGATGGCCAGTCGATAGTAGAGGGGGAAAGTATCGTCAAGAAGCTATCACAGAAGCATAGGGTCTCCTTGCTAATATGCTAGTAGTGTGTTCAGTCGCTAGCGAGAAGCTAAATTCCTGTAGATGAGCAAGTGTTTACAAATAATAACAGTAAGAGAGCATAGATCTCTGCCTCATCGAGCATCAGTATCGACTACTCGAGGTGTATAACCTCAAATATTTTTTCGGTGAATTCCGTGGAAATTTACAGGGGAAATACATAAAAAATCAATCCAGCGATGGATAGCAGAGAATACGCAGTTAGGTATAATACTTTTTATGCGCGTCATGATATTTTTTAAGCAATCGCTTGATAAACATTTCGTTATTCTTTAGTGTGAAAAAAGAGCCGAATGATACTTGGATAGATGCAGATGACGATTGTAATTTCTATTCGGTGGGCTCGCGTAAAGCCGAAAACGTTGAAACACGCATGGATTTCAAATCTTCGGTAAGTTTATTGATTTGAGTTATGTTCTGTTTATCCGCAATCAAAAATTATTAAGCAATTTTAATTTTAGGCTGACCCAGTGAATGAGGCTATGGGATCACACAAAAAATTACACGAAAAAATATTCGTAGATTTTGAGTGCAAAGATGTGAAACCTGAACTGAAGTCTTTATCAACAACCATTTGCAAAACTGAGGATCAAAGTTACCCATCTATTGTAAAAATAGAAAAACCAATTCAGACCAATTATTTTTATAACAAAGGTCTGATAGTTTTGATAAAAAAACAGTTTGATTATGATAATGACTGTCAATTCAAAGTAGATTCCCGATTAAATGAATGTAGAATTTGTCATAAATCATTTGGCCGCAAGTATCACCTTAAATCTCACTTAACAGCAGTACATTATCTTAGCAAACCCTTTGAATGTGGAATTTGTCATAAATCATTTGGATACAAAAGTCATCTCAATACTCACATAATGACAGTGCATGACCGCAGCAAACTCTTCGAATGTGATATTTGTCAGAAATCATTTGGACGGAAAATTAGCCTCGAATCTCACGTAAATACGGTACATGAGCGGATCAAACCATTTGAGTGCGAGATTTGTAACAAATCTTTTGGTCAAAAAGCTACCCTCATAAGACATATCAATTTAGTGCATAAACGTAGCAAACCTTTCGAATGTGATATTTGTCATAAGTCATTTGGAGACCAACATCACTTAAAAACGCATACTGATGTAGTTCATAAACGTAGCAAACCTTTCGAATGTGATATTTGTCATAAGTCATTTGGACACAAGCATGTATTAAAAAGTCACATAAACGCAGTACATAAACGGAGCATGTGAGATTTGTCATAAATCATTTGGACTAAAAACAAACCTGGAAAAACACATAACTGCAGTACACGATCACAGTAAATTCTTTGAATATGAGATTTGTCACAAGTCATATGGCCGCAAGGAAACACTCAAATCTCCCATAAATGCAATACACGAGCTGAGACAACTCTAGAAGCGTGAGATTTTTTAGAAGATATTTGGAAGAAATCAAGACTTGCAATTAAAGAAACGCAACTTCAGACGATCTTTTTCATTGAAAAATAAATATTGTATCAAATGAAATACTTCAAACTGTTATTGATTTTGTTGCGATTTTTGAAACACTTTTTACTCAACGTTCTTACATTTACATTGAATATAAACAATAAATTTCTTAAGTATCTACTTCCCATTTGTTTTTCTAATACAAAATCGTTGCCTAGTAACAGAAACTATTTCTAAACTTTGAGCGCTTACTCTTTTCAACTAATTACAGTGTAAGCAGCATAAATGTAGATTTTTTACGTCCCGTTTTTGTAATTAATGCTCTTCACGGTTTTCAGACAGGCACATATATAATAAAATCAGACATTTACTGGGAAATCGAATCTAGTTTACAAATATCTTAATCAAATTGTTTACGGCGCCTGCTTTAAAAGCTCGTCGCCTAGCCCAGACAGCTTCTTCATTTTGAGCCGGAATCAAGATGATTGACAAACGGTGCGCCTAGCACAAACGTTTGAGATTGAGCTGCGAGTGATCGAGGATACTCGAGAGTTTGAAATCCGCCTCAACTTTTCGTGAAGTTACTTGCGGTCACGCGATACGCTTTGGACGCTGCCAGCACCAGCGACGTCTCCGTCGTCTACGTCGTCTTTTGTCGCCTTTTAATATTGCGACCTTGTCCTTTTGCGCCTGCACTGCTGCCTGCCACGTTATGAAAAAAAGGCGCGCCTCGGCCAAAATCCATCAGCAACCGATCACGGCTGGGCGGCCTAGCATAGCGGCACAGCAGCAGCCCCTCTCATATTCATCGCGGCCTCCTCTATATATCTTTCCAGACTCGCTCGTGCATAAGCTTGCTGCAGCGGCGGCGGCGGCCAATCTTATATCCTTCTGGAATTCTGTCTCGTATTTTGCAGTTCAGCAGTTTCTCTCCTCATGTTACACGTTTTAATAGGGCTATTCATTTTTCTCCGGCCTGACGTTTCGCGCATATTTTTTAAGCTCGAGCGCAGCTAGCTACCCCCCGGACTAATTTTATGTAACCGAATGTACGTATCATCGCGCTACTCGAATGTCATTTTATTAAAATCTCTTACTCGGTAGATTTTATATCAAATTTGGTCTGCTATCCGGATTTATACAAGGATGATAATTTTCATTTAATTGCGTGAATTTGACATGTATATAGCGTTTGAACGAGTCGAGACATTAAATTGTTCAAAAAATTTTAAGAAGAAGAAAAAAGTTCACGTACTACGTACGATTAATAACTTTTTAATGACATTATCTATTTTTCAAAAGCTCTTTCGGTTACTTTCGCTCGTTTAGCTGTTAATTGTGTCATAAAGCTCTGCAGTCAATTAGCGGCGTTGCGTTTTTGTCATTCGTACGCAATAACAGAACGAAACACACTTGCTTACTTTTCATTCAGAGCTTTTTTCAGTCAAATTCGTTATACGGCATAAGTAATATCTCGCATATAAAAAAAGATAAATGGAACGTATCGCAAAAAAAAAAACAAGATTTATCGCAAAGCATAAAGCAGAAGAAGAAAAAACCATCGAGCGCGCATGAAAAAAAAAAAAAAACGAAATGGGAGGAAAGAAATGATTTACTCTCGCGCCTATATTATATCGAGGCGAGAAAGTGCGTTTTAAACTTATTTGAGGTCACTCTATGATCTAGGGGCATGGACGCGCGACTTTTGGAACAACGCACACGCTCACACGGACGCAGGCCTAGGCCTTGTAGCAGCAGCAGCAATACAGACGACGATCATGTGTGTATATAGTTTAGAAAAAGGCTGGCATCTAGGAATCGAGTAGCAGTATAGCAGTGTCAGTAGCGGCGACGGTGGCCGCAGTAGTAGTAGTAGTAGTGGTAGTGGCAGCAGTAGTGGAGTAGGAATAGCTGCAGTCAGACAGTAGTGGTGCGTAGCATCAGGGGCGCAGGCTCGGGTTTTCAACGAGGCGAGAGGAGGCTGTGGGGGATGCCCTCCTCCTCGTCGTCGTCGTCGTCGTCGCACGCAGGACTACTCGTCGCGTACAAAACGGCTGCACCATCCTGTTGTATACAGTTATACACATACACACACACACATATAGATATAGGCGCTGGATATCGTCGCGTTTTCAGCAGCAGCAGCAGTAGCAGTAGCAGCTTTCGCGCATATACACAGAGAGCGAGATACAGCACACAGACCGGGGGAAAACGGGAAAAATAGAGAGAGAGAGAGAGAGGAAGAAGGGCTCGCTCGACCGCGCTCAGCAGCCGGCGCGCTCAGTTGTACGCTATCCACCCACGCTTTCGCACACGCACACGCGCCTCGCTTAGTGTAACATGTAATAATATAATATATAGAATAGCTCACCACCCCGTATACATATAAAAGCACGTTTTGCACACCTTACAAAGCACAGCTACGACACTCACGTGTGCGCTGTACTGCGCTTCGGTTATTTCTGTTGTTGTTGCTACTGTGGTTTTTGTTTTTACCGCTGCTGCTGCTGCTGCTGCTCCTACTTATTACTAGACAATAACTTTTTAGACTGGCCTTATTCAATTCTATAAGAAAATAGAGAAAAAGAAAAAATACTAGATTTCGACGATAAGCTTTTATACAATAGGTATGTACTTTTTTTATTGTCCAATTCACTTATTTAATTGAGATAAACGTTTCTACAATTTTTAAATTAAATGCATGAAAAAAAAAAATTCAACATCAACCTCTAAGCCTACATCGACTAGTCCGGACAATACAATTTTGCGAGAAAATTCCAACTATCGAGTGGATCGCTCAATCGTCAATTAAATTCTCGAGAGCGGGAAAACACGCGCGGGAAAAGTTAACGACTCCCGGAGCTTTTTTTTCTCTCTCATCGCGACCGTTAAATCGCTGAATCAATTCAGAGAGCTCAACAGTTACGACCGATCCCTGACTTTTTCAGTGCTACCGTATATATATATACCTGCAGCAGTGGCAGCAGCGGCAGTGGCAGCTGCACTTTTTATCGCAACCCGAGCGGCGAGCTACCGCTGGAGCCAGTAAAAGCTACCACGTCCAGCGGATACTGCTGCAATAATGCCCAAGTTCAAAATGAAGCTGGCTCGCAGGCAGACAGTAGCGAGCGCGACAATTACTGATTGCGCCGTCATCGCCACGAGCTCTCGAATACCGAATAATCGTCGTCATCGTCGCGCGGAAATCGTCCGCCGCTTCAGCAGCAGTCATTAGTCCAGCAACAACGACGACGACGACGACGACGACGCGTCAACGCGTAAAATTCACTCGCTCAACGTCGTCGATTGCATCACTGCAATTATACGAAAGGTGAGTGATCGATCGATACATCGCATGCGGATTTTCCATTATTCGGCGTATTATTTGCTTCGGGGCTGGAAATTTATTCCAATGTGGGATATACGGTAAAGTACAACGTTCCTGCGTCGCGACTCGTAAAAGCGCGAAACTGCTCAACTACCTGTAGATCGTGTGCAGCGTTTGGCAAATTCGATTTTAATGCCATTATATTGTGTTCGGGGGAATAAAATTAATGCGAGTCGATCTGCAGCTGTTGAACACTAAATAATTTTGATTCTCGCTTCTCCTTCATTTCGATGTCATTGAATTTGAAAATCACGGTTGAATCGCGCGATGTATTTTATCGTTAATACGTTACAACTAGACGCTTTTAATCATGGACATCGAGTTAATAATATTGCGACGAAACAAATGCTGAGGTTCACCGTAAATAATAATGTCTCTTTCGGGACACCTTTCAAAGTTAACTGTATCGTTGGGAATTAAAACAATAAATTCTACTCGACGTAATTTGCCACATGGAACACAATCGTCGGTCGACGATTCGTTTCGAGAGATAATAGGCTTACATTAAAGTTTAGAAAGTAACGTACAGTTTGCGAAGTGAATGCTCACACATTAAAAGTTGAATCTCGTCGTAATGAGATTGAATTAGGTGGCTCTCTGGATGGTATTAAAACAGTTCTTTCAAGTTTTTTTTTTTCAAGTTATAAGTTTATTACGGAGGTACAAATCAATTTCATTTCTAGCATTGACAAGTTTTAATCAGTTAAAGCGATGATCGAAAGAGATTTGCCGTGCTTTATCATGCGCGATTCCAAGTATAATTCAGATCAGAAAAAAATCTGAATAGTTGATAATGTGCCAAAAATTCTAATCAAAAACGCATCATCGAGAGAATTCAACCTTGAATTCATTTTTTATTATTACGATATAATCTTCTACGGTCCGTTTTGAGGCTTTTAGTATTCCGACGTTATTTTCAATAAAACGACTGCGAATATAAAAAGCTTTGAAGGAAAGCTTTGAATTGGGCAGGAGCACTTCTCTCCTGAAAGATGTCTGAGATACTCGCTCCGAACAAAAAAGAACGGAAGCAAATTCACGGTGAGAGCTTGGCATGGCAACGAATCCTGCGGAGACTATATATTCGACTGTTTGTTTAGTTTTTACTATACGCTGAAGCAAGTTTGTACTGTGAGATTTCACTTTACTTTACTTCCTGTACTAAATCTTGTTTTTAGTTATCTTCAACGAGAATCGTCACGAGTTTCGGTTGTTTCCAGAATTTAAAATTGATTTCGTATATAAAGTACTTGGATGGCAAAAAAACATAAAACAAAACAAAAGTAGCCCAAGACGCGCGTAATTAGGGGACAAGGCTGGTAAACACGTACTTTAGGACTTCTTTTTACGTGGTCAAGGTATGTGTCACGATTTTTCTGTGAATCCCCGGACACGAGATTAAAAAATTTTGCTTAGGCGTAACTTTTAAAAATTAAATACGAAAGAAGGCATGATTACGTAGTTAAACACAGGTGCTACCTCGAAAAGAAAAAAAAAATTTTAGAAGTTTGATATTCGTTAAAGTTTTTTCTCGTGATGAACACATTTCGAAGAATTTTTTTTGATTCTTTGAAAATTTTTTCTCCCACTTTACTTAGCAACTTTTTTTAATCTGCCTTAAAAGTATATATTTTGCGTCTTAATGTAAAACGAAGCAGAGGATTAAACTCTGTGTACTTGGTGACTTGATTTTCTAAAAGATAACTGTAAAGTTATGTTTATTTGTTTATATTTCATCTAAAAGTTTGATCATTATATACCGCTATAAAATTATATTACATTGCTATAAAATTTCACTAGTCAAAACATGTTTTTCATGTTCTACGTATTACCAGTAAAGTAACGCGGCGAAAAAAAAAATTTCATAACAGTATTTAATATCGAGTTCTTAACTCTCTATTCTATTTCCCGATGTAGTTGATATATTTTTAATGCACAGATGTTACAAAACTACGATTCCTTTGCTTATTCTCCTTTTTGCCTTTGACTCGTGATTGAGCCGATTTTACTGAAAATATGTCTGAGAAATGTATACAGGACTTGAAATAAATCTGCTGGATCATATGCGTAAAATCCATACGGCGATTAAAATACTTGCTAGGAATTAAATGACGACGTAATTTATGTTTCTCTGGATAAAAAGTGACCTACTTTTTTTCCTCGGCGTATGAGCCTGCTTTAATAAAAAACGTTCTTTTAATAATCCTTTGATATGGCATCAGCTGTTTTGGATGGTGATTTCAGGGTTTATACGTAAATGCCTTGACGCCTCTGTATCAATTTCGAGCAAAATAAAAAAGATATTGTTTAAAAAATCTTAATTTTGTATATAAAAACGAACCATAATTAAACATCAGCCTGGAGCCGAGAAATGTTTTGTTGACTGTTTACCGCTCTAATGATCGCAAGATTTGCACAACCTGAAACTAAATGATAAATATTTATCGTTAGTACATGCGTATAGACGATGCAGGCCTCAAAAATATTTGCCTTACATAAACAATTATCTTGAGATTGAAATCACGAAGTTACATAATGAAAAAACAAAGACATTTGGAACACGTTCCGAAGTGCATTTCGAGCATATTTTTTTTTTCCTGATAAAAGTTGAAAAAAATAATATCGCGTTGCATGGCTGGGCACGGCATACTTCGCAAAATTTTTGATGTATAGCATTTTGTTTGACGCGCGCTTCAAACTTTCTGCCGAGCGTGAGCGAGAGAGCACTTCACTATAAGCGAGAGAGAGAGAGTGAGACGAGAGGGATGACTTCCGTTGACGAGAAAAAAGACGTGCGCACACGACTGATCGCGCGCGCGCGCGAGAGAGAGAGAGAGAGAGAGAGAGCGAAATACTGGAGGAGCAAAAAAATTACATCTATATCTGCGCGCGACCATAACGTATAGTCACACGAATCATTGATCTACGCTTGCGGGCTGATTTATAAGGACTGGCCGGCGCAATTCGACCGGAAGACTCTCTTGCCTCTCTTTTTATGTTACGATATTTCGGTTGAAAGCTGAAATTGATTTTTTTTTCGCAGTTATCACTTTTATTGTATCAATCTGACGGTAAAGATTTATAATTATTGAAAAGTATAATCGAAATGAATTTCAAAGCTTATCATGTTACAATTATTATACAATTATTATATACTTATACAATTATTTGGACTTAAACACTTGCAGATTTACGAATAAAGGTACTCGCCATCTACTGGTGTAAAGTGGTACAATCGTATTTATGGTGATTGAAAACTTGGTTAAATTTTTTGAAACGAATAAAATTGACATTTGCAGGTCATTTATTCTTATCGGTTAGGCCCATATCAATGTTGAGCTTTTTTATAAGGGCGAATAAAGTAATATAACAAATATTATACACGTTTTACCGACAGTAAAATAAGAAACCTTAAGAGCACAATACGGTGAATCAGTACCCTTGCAAAAAAGACTTAATTGGATATCTCGAAAGAAATAATAGATTGTTAAAGCCGCTATCTCTACGTGCTAATGAAAATAAGGGAGGGTACTTTTCTGTGCGATGACTTTGAATGAAGAAAAATTCGCGTCGTTATTCAATAGCAAGCTTATTGAAGCGGAGAATCACAATCGTTTTTTTTTTCACGAGTCGGTCTAAAAGCTGACATTTTTCAAGGTATACAGAGACAGCATTGGTGGACTATTTCACTCGACTTACGAATTATGGAATTTTTAAATTAATAAACGCTGTATAATCGTTTCTATGTATAAAATTCAAACTATTTATAAAAGTTTATTCAGTTATTACAACACTTTCTAATAAAAACTTGCGCATTGAAAACAGGAGGGTGGGTCGAATCTGAATATGACACACATTTTTAGGGCGAAGTTTATTACGCAAGACAGTAAATTACAGAAAGGCGCAAAGGGAGTCTGTAAAGGACAAAATTTTGGTAACGTAATTTATGAACGCTCTCGGTTTCCTCTCGCTTCGAAAACCCAACGTTTGAACAACATTTTCCTAGCATTCTCCCTGGGCAACCAAAATTTTTTCCACGATTCTCAAATTAATCTTCGGTAATACACGCAATCGCGTATTTATATTTGTTTGATCGACGTGGAATCGGTAACGAGCTATTGAATTCCGTGCTTCGATTGAAATTCATGCATAGCTGCAGCAAACGTATTTCGACAAATAATAATATACCCGCGATAGATATTCGGGATGTGTCACGCCTGTATGTATACAAAAGCTCGCCTCGGAGTTTATATTACGCGAGCTGCGCAAGTTCAGGGGACCAGAGAGAGGACGTGTTTGATGATTTTTATTGCACGACAAAATGTCAAGGCCACATATATAGGCAACGGGCAGAGAAGCACGAGTTACAGATAGCAGCAGTCGTATAGAAATCCACCAGCAGCCCGCTGCAACGGCGACAGCAGCAGCAGTAGAACGAAAGCAAGGGGCAAAGGCTTATTTACTATAACAGTCACGATCAAATGCAGACGCTGCTCATTTCACCAAGCGAGTTTCTCTCTCTGCTCTCTGCTCTCTGCTCTCTCCGCAGCCAGAAATGTAGGAAAGGCCTTGACTATTGAATTGTTGAAAGGGCTTATTTCACTTCGGGGGTACAAAGAGCCTCGTAGATCGGATCTATCATCGAGTATCCTCATGCAAGCAGCAGCAGCAGAGTCAACTAACAACACGAAATTTCCAAAACCACATGCACAAACAGAGTCTCTCAATGATAATCCCAAAATTTCCGTTAAACGTATATACATACCATGCCCAAAGACCTTCCAGGAGGATTCATTATAAGCCATATAGGTAGAATTGCGCGCCTTTGAAGATGGCATTTCTAATCAGGCGCGCGCCAGGTGCTGCTGCTGCTGCTATCGCACTCGTCCTTCGAGACGACTTTAATTTCGAGTCTTCGGGATTATATTATATATACTTCGCGGATAAACGAGGCAGCCTATATGTGATATTGTACGTGGAACGTAACTAGAACTAATGAGCACGATAATCATGATAATAAGCAAAGCTACAAAAAAAGGGGAAAAATATATATGGAGGTTTTGAGATATCGATTCTCATTTTGCACAATGTGACTCTACTTTTCTCTCTCTCTCTTTATCTCTCCTGCGTGTATTAGCTGTAAAATATACGACTGACAAGAGATGGAATTTGTGTGCTCAGCCGGCTCAGAGCAGCCTAAGGATATCAAGGCGTGCTGCAGTGCATCGATGGAGCTCTCGGGCAAGTCTCCAATATAGCTCGATATATACATCTAAGCACACGCCTTTTTTCTGTGCGGTATATCGAAGAAAGGATGAAGGAAAATAAAACGAAGAAAAAAAAGTCCGAAAAATTCATTTGTGTGTGTGTGGATAATATACATTCGCTATCCTTATACCATTTAAAACAACAAAAAATAATGCCGTTGCGCAAATAAACTGTATCGGCTCGGAGCGCGCGGAGGGGGACAATAAATAAAATTCATTGTTAAGTGAGTCCGCGATACGGCGCGGCGCTATTTTCCCTGCTTAATAAATCAAACGGACCATGAGAAAAAGTGCACGCAGTTTTATTTATTTTTTTTTTTTTACCGAAACACAATACTTATTTTGGCTTTATGTCACATACAATATGTACGAGACTAAAATTTCGTATAAAAAATTTATATTTTATATCATGTTGCGGGTTTTAATTATATTATATAATCTTTTTTATTTTCCTTGTTTTGCGTGTGTGTTACAGAACTTAACAGCATGTCGGGGACAAATTTGCATATTGCAGATACCAGCCCAACGCGCCAACCAAGGTAAAACAGAAACACACAAGCGTAGTATGAAAATTTTTCGCAAGAATTAATAAAAAAAAAAAGTTAATTAAAAATTTATCATAAAAAGGAAAGTTGTAACTTTATCTAACGGTTTAGTCTCTTCATCGAGGCTCTGATGCATCGCTTAGACTCTCGTATGAAATGATTATTATTGAAACAATTAGCATGATTAAATTTTCACATAACAATCGTTCAAATAGCGAGTCCAGTTAATTGAAAATCCGCGAGTATGATATAAAATTTATGCTTTTAAACGATCACACACGTGCTACGACTGCTATTCAAACTTGGAGATTTTATGTCCAAACTTAGAAAGTGATTCGTTTGTATAATGGCGCAAAAAAGTAAAAAAGGCCGAAATTGGGAAATCAATTTTATGCTCGCAGACAAAACAGAACTTTCAGCGTCGGACTGCCCGCACGGAGCTCTTTGTTTCCCGATGGATTGATGCCTGCTGGAGATAGCATTGTGCCACCACCCTTGCCCCGACGACATTCAGCAACAGTAGGTTCAATTGAATTTATCTACGTAGCTTCAGAAAACTTTTTATTTCAATTGCCATTATCGGAAGATGGATTTGTACTCTTTCGAATGATTTCCGTCGCTCGAGCATAGTTAAAATTTTTGAATTATCTACTTACTTCATCGAGGAAATGAATTTTAATTAAATTTTACTAAAAGTATAGTCACAAAAAAGTTTTTTTAAAGTTGCGTAACATTGAATTTGCATTATTTTCTCGCAGGAAGTCAGAGTACGTCCGTCATGAGACACAATACAGATGCTTGAAAAGTGTCTCATGTATGATTTTAAGAAAAAAAAATTTTTGAAACGTTAAAGTCATATTAAAGAATATTTATTTTCATTTCTCAATACACTCGCAATGTATGTTACCTTTCTCATTGCAATATATCACAAACGAAACAAAATTCAATTATTTTACAATAAAATATAAAAACATAAATTAATTGTTTTGTTTTGCTACCTACTATCAATTTAACAAAAAAAAAATAAACGAAACTGACACACACAAACCTTTATTTTTCCAGATTATCAATACAAATTCACATACTGGCGGATACTAGCTACATAAACTAATAGACATCTCGAACACACAAACGCAATATCTATATCACGCAATACATAGTTCAAGGCCACCTTAATCATTTATATGACTTACCAGAGATTACACAAATTTGTTTTCAGGTAGCTATGAAGCTTATAACGCCGAATCAATCTTACACGTATCGCAACATAAAATTTACGCATTCACGAACTGCAGTAATAATCGAGCTTTTTTTTTGTATTCAAATCACCGGAACATCGTTAAATTTACTTACAAAACACACTTAGGTTCGAAATTTTCTTGGCGTCGCTCGCAAAGTCGCAAAAAAATACAAAAATATTTACAATCGAGACGGAAAAAATACATACAAGTCATTAAAAAATGTTTTCAGTCGAGCGACTTTATTCAATATATATATAATAATAATATCTCGGCACGTGATAAGCCCGAAGAGAGATAGAGAGAACTTAAGGCAACGTTGATCGAGGTCCCCACGTTTATACAGGCCAATAATGAAAGCACAATTTATCAGCCGGCAGACGTGAAACCACCAATACCAAAGCGCAGCCGAAACGAGCGGCCAATACCGTTAGTCATTCCACCACCAGAATCGCCGCCACCGCAGCAGCAACAGGTTCAAGAAAAACAACAACAACAACAACAACAACACGACCTCGCGAGAAGCCAATCCTGGAAAGAGGCTGCCAATGCTGGCCCCTTCGTCAATACGCTGTCCGATTCGAACAACGAGTGCGAGTCGGACGAGAACATCGCGCTCAATCAAGCCTCGAAAGATCTCGGCAAGAAGCTTCAGAGCATCAGCGGCAAAAGCTCGCACGGCTCTAGGCGCCAGCAGCAGCAGCAACAGCAGAATCTCAGAAGTAATAGGTAGGCCTATTTACTTCCGAGCGAATTCCCTCGGCGCGGTTTATATTCTTGATATATTTCCTCGCCTCGTACTTTTCTCTCGCTCGACGATGCTCACCTGTTTTTTTTTCAATTCCGTGTTTGTTTCCGGATTTCGCGGTGAAATTCTCGTTACCAGTGGCTTAGTCTCTATACATTCGTACACCGTATAGGAGAAAAGAAAAAGAGAAAGACACGCGCGCGAACCGAAGTATCGGTAGTATTGACAGAACGCGGAGGGGCAGGCGCGGGGGGGGGCGGAGGATCGAGTGCTTCCCAACGGAAAATAGATGAAAAGTCACGTCGCGGGGATTACACGGGTGCATTCGTACTTTACATCTTATGTCATATACGAGTGCGTCGTATGTTTGTATATGGAGAAATAATAACTCGTCGTCGCGACGAGCTTTTGTAGAGGACATGATCTGTGGCATTGTCTAGAATTTTTTTTCCATTCGCCATAGTTTATGTACCGATGAAGTCTCGACAGAGAACAAGTGGACACGTGATGTTTATGACAAAAAAAAAAAAAAAAATTACTGCTTAGAAATAAAGTAATTTCGTGTTTATTTACAAAACGATAAGATATTTTTTTTGGAGATTTTTTTTTACGCACACGCGATCTCTTTTCATAAAGTTTCGATTGTGTTCGTTAGTACGTCAAACCTCTCCAATTTCGACAGAAGCGAGCGAGCGAGAAATTTTCAGTTTTTTTTTGGTTTTCAATCGGTGACAAAATGTCATCCTATTCGTTTCTTCCAAGATCGCCCAGGAGGGGTCAGCGCTCGCCGACCAACAAGAGGCAGCAGCAGCAATTTCAGCAGAGATCGGCCGACGACGAGGACGAGGACGACTTCGATCCGAGAATCTCCTCGACTCCGTACTACAAGCAGCTCGCTCACGCACAAGCCTACAATGCCGCGGGAAGGATCTACGAGAACAATCTGTGCTCGCACTTGGCGGCTGGTCGATTTCAGGAATGTTCCACCGGCAAGCACGAGGTTGGCGTTGTTACTTGTGTACAATATTCAAACGAGACAAATGTGTCAAACTTCTTTTCTTTTTTTTTTGCTTTATCTCAAACGCAGCTTAACGATGCTACTACGACGCGCTGCATCGCCAAAACTCAAGACAAGTCGCTGGCGGGGATGGCGTCGGCGGCTGCGGCAGAGGCCAAAGCTACGCAAACGAATCTGCCACCGCCTCTGAGTTCCATCTGCGCGATAAATTCGGCGGCGGCGGCGACATCGAAGCCCGTGAACGCGCGACAAGACAGCAATGTCTCCTCGGACAGCTTCAGCCAGACGAGCTCGCCCAGCTACACGTGCAAGACCATGGAGACGCCTCTGCTGCCCCAGAGGCAGCATCATCATCAGCAGCATCAGCAGCATCAGCAGCATCATGCTAATGGAAAAGTTCCCGGTAAGAAAAAAGTTTTGCCTCTCTACGATACAAAATTTTGAAAAATTGAAAAAATTCAAGCATCGATCTTCGCGATTGGAATATTCTGTTACAGGTCGAGCTCTGCCGGTCGAGCAAGAAAATCCACCGGGCAGTCCGATAACCAAATCGATGAGCACACCGGCGAGTCTGCAGGCCATCGTCAGATTCGAAAACGAAGGGAACATGGCTATGCATCATCACGTGAGTTTCGCTTCCAATTTGATGTTTATACGATAAAAAAAATTGGGCGACACAACGAGATAATTGAGAAAACCGACGACAAAGTACCGAGTTGAGAGAAACCTTACGCGAATGTGGTCAAACGATCGCAGGGTATTATAACCGGATCGCGGCGCGGGCCACGTTGTAATTGCTTTATTGTCGGAGAAGCCCCTGCGCGTGCTTGATCAAAGAGCCCCTCTACCCTCATAGATATGTCAATCGAAAACGCGACTGCCGGGTAAATTCTCGTATAAGCTCATTGTCGACTCACATTTTATAATAAAGTCTTTCTCGTTTACAACCACCACCACCAACAGCAGTAGTAGTAGAAAATGTTTTGTTTCGCCGCATACGCGATGACGCCAAAGTGTACTCTGCAAGTCTTAGGGCTTATGTATACTGCATTACTGTACGCTTTGTTCGTGTGTTCTCTCGAAAGCTTCGAGAAAGTGTGTATATACAGCCCCCTGTGTGTGCCACTTGTGCCACAGCCGCTTAATTTTCGACTTATTGATTTTCTCATCTCACTCTCACACACTCTATGCGTTTCCCGGCTTGCATCGCGCAAAACAAGAGTTCGCTTAATTAATTGAAAGTTCTGTACGAGCTTGTACGAGATCTTTTGTGGAATTAATTTTCGAGGCGAGCGCAAAACTTTTACATAATTTGAATCTTGGACAAATAAAGATCGATCGATCGGACTTATAATTTGTTATCTAATTTACCGCGTTAAAAATCAAACATCGAGTAGCAGCTTTCAATTATACTATATAGTAAATAAATTAACCTTGGTTACACATCTCATTTAATTATGCTCAAGATGCGTGTGGTGAGAGTTTAATCGTCGACAAAATCACAAATAACACAATCGCGCCGTTGTATACATAGTCATCAGCGGCGTGTGTACCACAATTATTATCTTCGAAGACAAACAACAATTTTTAATGGACATTTTATAGCCCCCCGTTCATCTGGCGACGAGGATGTGTTCGAGTAAAATTAGAAACACGTGGATTACGTATATCATAACGTTGTTTGCAGATAATGCGAGAGACCAGGCGCCCGAGTAGTCACTACGTTACGCGAGGCAGATTGCGCTTCAGATTCGCTCAAGTCATCGCCAACGCGTTTGCTCTCATGTTCATGGCGGGCGGCTTGGCTGTCTACTTCAGAAGTAAGTATGCAATTTTTTTGGCCCTCTTGATCGTCGCGGGTGGTGCAGCTGTCTGTTATGTCACAAGTGAGTATTTAATTTAATTTATTTAATTTATTTAATTTATTTTTCGCGCGTAAAACTTGAACAATTTTTATCGTTGATTTTCAATTTTTACTGAAGACAATATTCATTTTAATTTAATTTTTCTCTGTTTATTGTTAATGATATAATTTTACTTATGTCATGAATTAAGCTTTAATTATTTGAGATACGCATTATTACATGATAAAGTTATGATAATGATTAGATCTTTATAATTCAGTTTAAATAGTTTTATCCAGATAACAAGAGTTTTTGGAAATTTTTGCGTTTGATTAGGTAATCGATTGATATAAAAAGATTGATTGAATTTGATTTTTTTTCGCTTATTATTTGAAATAATAAAAAAAGAACATGAATGTATGCGTAATTCTATACAACATTTTTAAAATTCGAGGCTGAAATCGTGATTGAAATTATTATTCATTTATTTCGCACTTGAAAAAAGTGAAATCATTTAAACTTTTTTCTGATTTTGATTTTGACTTTAGGAAATCGAATAAACCTGTAGAAAAATCCACTAGGGTTTGAAAAAATAACATTCGTATAACATTTTCGATTTTTCTTCAGTTATTCGATACTTCAAAGTCAAAAAACTCAAAGAAATGTTCTAAATGATTGCAGTATTGTCAAAGACAGAGTATATAGTAAAAATAAAAACTACTTACGAAAATGCGCAATTTTTCGTCTTCTTGAACACAAAAATAATCATAGACAAACATTTAAATCGTGGTTTTAGCTACGAATTTAAAGGATTTTTTTCACTAGATTGCATTCATAGATTTATAGATTTTTCAAACAGGTCTCGTTTTAATCCACTCATCATAGGGGATTGCAGTTGAGCCGCCGCGATACGCTCCTCATTCTCAACGTAAATGGGATTCTCAAATCCCGTGAAAATTATTTATCGTTCCCACTTTAATTTTTGCATAGATAGTTAAATTTTGAAAAGTGCTAATGATGGCTTATTGAAAGAGAAACTCTATGAAATAGATAAAAAGAGAAAAATTAAGAATGCCTATTAATTAAATAAAGTAAGCTGAAAAATATCATAAAAACCATAATTGCCGCAATCATTAACAGTGATATCTAATAATGGTATTAGGTTTTAGGCGAATTAGCGGTATTTTACATTAAAATAATGGTTATTGATAGTAACTGATAATGCGATATTGTACAATACAGTATATATGCAATGGTTTTATTAAGTATTTGTAATATTATTACAAAAGGTTGCAAGCTCAACGTAACAGATCAAATGGGTAGTAATTGCTACTTAATTGTCATTCGATCGAAAAGAAGTAATTTGACAGAATTCATAGATTTAAGTAAAAAAAACAAATGACCTTTGGTTTCATAATGATGTATTCATAGAAGATAAAATTAGTTATGACTAATTTGTAATTCATTCTAAATTTGTGTGCGAAGTGTATCCAAACGTATCACCCAAATACAACAAAACCGTTGAGCCGACCATCCCCGAACCAACAATGCCGTCGGTACCAGAGAATCCAGCTCCGGGAGTATGTTTGCCGATTATCGTGAGCTTCTGTCAATATCCACAGGTAATTCAAACAGTACATCGGGAATGAAATCAAACACAGATGTTTGAGAAAATTTTCGCTCAGACAATTGCTTTCATTTCGTCTTGACACTAGGTTCCGTACAACTACACGGTTTTTCCCAACTGGATGGGAAATTTCAGACAACGCGACGCCCAGCAAGAACTCGAGCACTACGACGCCTTGATCGACGTTCGTTGCTACGAACTCGCCGCTCTATTCTTGTGCACTATATTTATACCTAAATGCGGAAGAATGAATGGACAAGCGGTTCGACCCTGCAGAAGTTTGTGTTATGGTAAATATTATTCATTGGTGTTTTACACTGTTTAAAGAAACCTTAAATTGAAAGCAGATTAAATGTAAAATAAGTCATTCATCTTCGTTTAAAATTAATGCATTTGTGCTGATTTATATTTGTACATTAACCATGCTCATAAAATGCAAGGTAACGCAATCAAATGCATAGATTTTAATGCAAAATTAACAAAAAACGTTAACGTTGTAAATGAAAGTTAAAATTTCAATACAGATATAATTTTCGTTCATTGATTCAGTAATTTATGAAAATTCAATCAAAATTAAAATCAGCCTTTACCACTAGATGGCGAGTACCTTGATTTGTAAATCTGCAAGAGCTAAAATTAAAGTGATTGTATAAGTCAATGCACGATTTTAATACAATGCATCTTCGCCAATTTCCTGACTCGCCCGACGAAAAAAAAATCGTCCAAGAAAAAGTAAAAGTAGTAACTAACACCATGATATTAAATTATAAAATGTAATAAAATGTAAAAATATTTAAAATTACTAACGATTTCGGACAGCTAATGCATTAAAAAAGACAGCATAAAATCACATTTTCTTACACTTTTTTACATTTTCTTCAATAGGCTATCCGCGTGTGATCGCATCGTCCGCAACAAGTGAATTTCGTGCAAAAAAATGTATTGATTTTTATGAATAAATTAAGACAATTTATGATGGATATGTATATAAATCAAATTCAGTCATCTCAGTACTCCTACATCTATGATGATGTTATAAGGCTTTCTGCTGCATTAAAGCGAGTTCACTTTTTTCACAAAAATCACTTGCTGCGGTCAATTCGATCACATGCGGGCTTGATTGGAATTTAAAACTCATAAGTCAAAATTGTAACATTTAAAATTATTATTACAGAATTTTATGTTTTTTTACACTTTTTTACTTTTTCCGTGTAACTTCAATGAGTTTGAATTCATTGGGTTTTCATCTCTCTACTTATAGGTAAAAAAATATAATAAACTGTAATAAAAAGTAAAAAAGTGTAGAAAAACGTATAACATGTCCGAAATCATAAGTAATCTTACATTTTTTCTCACTTTTTTACTTTTTATTACAGTTCACAACACTATTATGTACTTTATTTGAAAAAAAAATTCCGCTAGGGTAATTACAAAAGCAGAAAAATTATATAAACACATGACAATTGATGTGATTTAAATAAATGTATAAAGAATTGTACATTAAATTTAATGTAATGCTTTCTAAATGGAATTGAATTTTTCAACGTGAAGGAAAAAAAAATTACAACAGTTTATTTACTCAAATGTATAGTTTTATCAATTATACATATGGTAATGAGTGAAAAATCAATTTTATAATTTACAGAAACTAAACGTCGTTGCGGTTTTTTCATGGACGTGTTTAATCTGCCTTTACCTGCATACATGGAATGCGATTTGTTTCCCGAAAGTCCCGATTCCAATGTCTGCGTGGGACATCACGAAGTCATCGAAGCAGCAAAAAGAGCAGCAAGGCCAAGTAAAACTCATCGTCGCCTTTTTTTTTCGAACGAGATTCGACCGAAATCGATGCTAATTTTTTTTTCTTCTCTACCATCAGTGTGCTTGAGCGGCTTCCAGTGCGACGAGAAGCGCTGCATACCGCTGGACTGGCGCTGCGACGGCCACGTCGACTGCGAGGACCACAGCGACGAGATCGGCTGCGGCGAGTGCAGCGACAGCGAGCGCACCGGCCTCGCGGCCATCAGCTCCAAGGGCGGCGGCGGCAAGAGCGTGGCCAACAGCCTGAAGAGCGTCCTCGCGCAGGCCTCGCTGCACTGCGGCGAGCGCCGCTGCATGTCGGCCACCCATCTCTGCGACGGCGTGCCCGACTGTCCCTGGGCTCAGGACGAGCGCAATTGCCGTGAGTTACGAGTTTGAACATTTTTCAAAATTATTTACTCTAATTTCGTGATTTTATTCGTTTCGCGATCAAATAGTTAGATTAAGCGAAGTGAACGGAGACACGGGCAAAGGTCGATTGGAAGTGTACAACGCGCATAAAGGAAGGTACATGTCAGCCTGTGTGTCGCGATGGACGCCGGCGACAGCCAGAGATATCTGTGGACTTTTGGGATACACGTAATTATTCTTTTAATCGCCATGCTCTTTAATTCATGCATGATTTTTTATGGTTATAAAAAAAATTTTTATCATTATTTCTGTACAGGAATGTTGACTCATTTAGGTATTTGATGGCAGAAAGCAATGTAACGCTTAATCCAGCACCCGTAGAAACATCTCCTAAGCTCTGGTATCCGACTCCAAAGAGCTCTAGAAATTTACTCCGTGAATTTCAAGAATGCACGGACGAGAAAGATTACTCCACAATTGATCTTACTTGCTCCAACTATGGTTAGAGAAATCATTTATTTTTTCTCTTTTTTTGCGAAGAAACAAAAATTTGTGGTTTACTAAGCGGCAAATATTTCAACAGAATGCGGTAAAAGGCAGAATTATGGAAATTTGAAAGCGCGCAAGAAGAGAATCGTGGGCGGTGTGGAATCAGCACCAGGTGACTGGCCATTTCTTGCCGCTTTGCTAGGTGGTCCGGAGCAAGTGTTTTACTGCGCCGGGGTTTTGATTGCCGATCAATGGGTTTTGACGGCTGCCCATTGTGTTGGCAAGTAAGTCAAAAATGTTTCATAGTGAATATTGATCGAATACTATATAAATATTAAATATTGGCACATGAAAATTTCAGTCATTCCGACACCTCTGGTTGGACGATACAGTTGGGTATCACAAGACGTCACGCTCATACTTATCTTGGTAAGAAGATGAAAGTAATGAGAGTTATCCCTCATCCCAATTACAATGAAGGAGTACCACACGATAATGATGTTGCTCTTTTCCAAGTAAGTTATTTCAATTTATGCAGATTTCTTTCTTAAAGCATATCGATATATTATACAAATTACTTTCACAATAGCTGGAGCACAGGGTCGAATTTCACGATCACTTACGACCCATTTGTTTACCACCAGCCAATTCAGAGCTAAGATCGGGCACTTTTTGCACCGTGATAGGATGGGGCAAAAAAGAAGATACTGAAAGTAGTTAAATTTTTGATATGCCTAGAGTAAATCAAAGTTATTACGCAATACAAATGAACCTAATTATTTTCAGCCTCGGAATACGAACCGGCAATTAATGAAGTCGCAGTACCTATATTAGACCGAGAAATTTGTAACACCTGGCTTCTGCACAAAGAGGTCAATGTAACTGAGGGCATGATTTGTGCAGGATACCCGGAGGGTGGAAAGGATGCGTGTCAAGTATGAAAAAATAATTAAAACTAATAGAAATTAATTCGCGATCCCATGATAAAACGTAAAAATATGTCGATAGGGCGATTCAGGTGGACCTCTGCTATGTCAATTCGAAGGCGAAGAAGATCGCTGGTTCGTTGGCGGTATCGTTAGCTGGGGTATAAAATGCGCTCATCCGAGGCTACCCGGCGTCTACGCTTTCGTGCCCAAGTACGTACCTTGGATCTCGAAGCAGATCGAGGCGTACACCACCGTCAAGAAAGGATGAGAAAAAATGATAATAATAGTATGCAGCTATCTAATGATTGATTTACAATTACCTTCAATATATGCAATCACAGAATTACAAAAGAAGTAAGTACAAATAACGATGAATTCGCGTTAAAAAGTTGATATTTTGTTATCATCGAACGAAAGTATTTTTATACTGTTAAACAAAAAAACAGAAGGCGTAGAGAGAAATTACTATATGAAAAAAACTATATTTATTTGTCGCGAACTTTCTTGGTTACTGAGAGAGAGAGAGAGAAAAAAAAACGGGGCAAGAGCAAAAATATTTCCTACATTGTTTACAGACGAGACTATCTCTCATATATATTATGAAAATGAAAACGATAAATATATGATAAATATATATGCTGGTCACACATGAATTTTTTAGAAAATAAAGAGAAATATATGAATGTGTTGATGTTAAACAAAAAATATATTAGATATATAATATAAATAACCAGCAAGGTTTAAAAAAATTGCTGCAGTGTTATTCTCAAATGTATCAAACTGTATTATATAACGATTTATGACTATTTATATTGAGGCTCTGTGCTATATAACTTATACATGAAATAAATGGAAACATAGTATTTAAACGACTTGAATCTCAAAAACGTGTAATATCGTATAAGTTGTATTAATGATTGTTTATTTTTTATTACAACTTATCGATTACTGAGACTTAAAATTTTTAAGTTTTTTTACAGCTGACTTTTTTAAATTTGGTTTTCATTTACTTTATACTTTCAAGGTTTGAAGTGACAATCTTCGTTTCGAAAGTCTTGTAAATATTTTGATAAAAAGAAATACTTTTATAGAACTGCGAAATTTGATTTGTCTCACACTCAATTAAATAGAAAAGTTCAGATAAATGGGTCCCTGGGGCAGCATTCGATAAAATATATTGATATACTTTTGGTACTGTACTATTACACATAAAGATTTCAATACTCAACACATAAGATGATTATAAATGCGCATGAAATGCGGATAAAAACATTTTGTAAAATAGATTGTAAAAAATATGTTCAAAAAAAAATAAAATTTTACACTGAGTGTCTAAAACCAACATAATATAAGCAGAAAATTACTCATAGTTACGAGCAAATTACAAAAATGTCAACTCTTATGAAGAGAATATTATTTTTAATTACAAAATTTTAAACTTTCACTAATAAAAAGGGTATCAATATAATAACTACGAAAAGTAACTTCACATCGTTAGAAACCACATTTATAGTTTACATTTAAGAAAAAACAAATATATCTGAATAAGTTAATCACATACACGTAGGACATATACCATTAAAAAAATAAGTACGATCAATGAATAGTTGAAGAATTGATCTTTTTCTTTTATTCCAATTGAATAATTTTCAAAATAAAATTGCAAGATTTTGGATTATTTAAAGATATACTTCAATGAATTTCTTACTTATCATCATTGATGATTCATCAGTTACTGGAATAATTAATTTTAATAATTTGTGTCACTGAATTTGCGTTTCGATAAAGCCTTTGCATAGTGAGTTGTAATAAAAAACGTTATAGTTATTCATTGCATTTAAAAAAATGGAAAAATTCAGTTCTTGCCTAATGTGTAGAAATAGCTTTTTCATTGTTATCACATATATAAAACTATACTAGATATATGTTGTAATGAATCAATGTTGTTGACTGAATCCTAGGAATAAATTAGAAGAATCATCTTAGCACATCATTGATTTACACGAAAGCAGAAATTTTTTTACTTAAGTTGAATGATAAGTTTGTGATAATAAATAATAAAGGGTTTCATTAAAAATGTGTAATCATATTTTTGGAACAAATTTTGATTGATAGTTTTCTACGAACCGTCTAATAGTATTAAAAGAGGTTCGAATTAAAAAAGTGAGCTAAAGATAATCATTTTCTAATAGTTTTAAAAAGACAATAAAGCTCAACTGAGATAGTCTTCCTTAGTGTCCAGACAATGCTTTTATGGTTAAAAATAAATAAATATACTTATTTATCGTAATAAGTATCTGACAATACTGTGTGAACAGACAATAACTAGAGATAAGTTTCCTAAAAAGGAATATAAGTGGTATAATCAATTAACTACTTCAAATAACGATAATATTAATCGAAGTTAGATTTAGATTTAAACATGAATATAGACATAATTCTAATAAAAGTACGTGCTACTATATCCAAAAAATTATTTGAATTGAGTTTTGAAATCTTTCTTTTACATTAACGCAAAAATAAATAAAAAAATTGGAAAACATTCGATAATATACTGATTTCCAAAACTACCTATGTAATGTATACTAAAATAATCAATTTGTAATGAATGTAATGTTAGAAAAGTATACAGTATTATTGTAAGTTGTGTAATGGACTATTAACAAGTTAAATTGTCGTTGATATTTATAATTCGAATTTAGACAGATTGAAAAGGTAAAAAATTTTATGTTTTTTACGTTAGAAAATGAAATATTTACATACTAAAGTTGACCTTGGTTTTATTAAATATATTGAAATGATATTTATGATATTTTGTGACTAAAAAGAACAGTGTTTGAATCAAGTTTATGAAAAAAAAATTATTGCGATCAAGTATGAAAAATTAAGAAGTTATCAGCTCAAATGTTAATGATGAATGATACGAATAATTTAATTATGAATATTTGGCACACAAATACATTAATTATGTAGAATATCAATTAACGAAATGTAGTTTATCATTTTACTAATCTCAAAGACAATAAAGTGTGAAACTTCCGAATCGTTCACTGATTTTCCTGCTTGTTCTTTATCTCAAACCAATGTAGAAATGAGTGGTGCCACCTCTTGTCGACTAGCTGTTCTTAACTTCGTCGCCTCGCTTGATAGCGGCGTTTCTGCATTTTCTCTTGCTGCAATATGCTCTTTTCGTTTAAGGTGGTTCTTTCAGTTTAAGTTTTTCTATAGTGAACTCTTGCCTAGAGCTGTATATTTTGTATGCGCAGTAAGTACTGCGCAGCCTGACATCAGCTGATTTATAGCAAAAACATCGTTTTTTTCACTTTTACGTGAAAAATCTTGATTTTTTGCAGCGTAAGCCCTGTTTTACGATACACAGGCTGAAAGATTAGAATTTTTTCTATAAAACCTATACACTCCGATACCCGAACAAATTAATTTTTGATTAGAAATACCATATGAATGGTGGCCGTTCTATGCTTCCCATGTTAAAATAGCATACTTTGAGATAAAATATCTCGAGATTTTGCAGCGTAAGCCCCATAAATAATTATATCATTGAATTCAGCGTGATTTAATCTATAAGATAGGATAGGTCTCATGTCTCAACAAATATTGAAAGAACCACCTTAATACCGCTCGAGTAGTCATCACACCGGCGAAGTTATTCATTATTATAATAGAGAAAATCTAGCAAATCAACACGAGAATTGTTTGTAAGGTACACTTTCTTCTTTTGCAACAAACTAACATACATAAATTAATTGACGTTAAAATTGTACAAACTATGCTCTAAAACTTATCCAATTATTTTTACTTTGCCACTTGCAGATATACAGAAAAATGTACCCGCCACCTGGTGATAGAAGCTTAACATTTAATAATCGTACTTAAATTAGTTGAAAATTTGTCAGGATTTTTTGAAATAATAAAATAGTCCGTTTTAGGTGATTTAAAGTTTGTATTCGTGTTACATTTAAAACAGAAAAATAGTCAATCAATGGTATGTTTTTTAAAACATTTTAAATGATGGTTTTTCAATTATTAGGTCATCATAAATGTTGAGCATTTCTTCCAGGGCATTTACGGCGAAAATTAAAACTTTTTAAAACAGAATGGAAATGAACGTTTGCGAAGTGTGCATAAAATCTTTTATTAAAATTATTCAAATTTCTCGACGCATCGAACAACGAGCGCAGCTAAAATGATCCGAGGATTGGCATGAACGTCTGGTGCAAATTTTTGTAAATTCAATTTTCGAACGCGCACGCGGTGCCGTTAATTCGCTTCCGTTGCGTGCACCGCCACGCAGCTATTTTGCCGATCTCAGAGGCGATATGGCGAAAATTTCTCTTCTCCGTACAGGCTCTCAACGGAACGAGCCGAGATTTATCCCGTGTTGCGAAACTTTTTACCCTCGAAAATCGCAGAAATTTTTGCACGCTACACAAGAGTCGAGCGCGTGGTTGTAAGCGCGTCCGGCGAATAATGCTGGAAAAGGCGCTTTTATCAATGAAGCTTGCGCGCTCGCAGTAGGCGCGCGCTTATCTCGCGACGTATCTTAATTCGATTACGTCGGTGTGCGCGAGCTGGTGCTGTGTATATCGGAATATCGCGCGCGCGCGCGCGCGCACGTAAATAAATTTCTCAGCGAAATAATCAGAATCCCTAAACATTGGTTCTATGCTATACGTGCCCGAATGAGCTATAACGGTTTTCGCGATGTGCGTACACGTTCGTTTCCTCGTCCGAACTGCAACTGGGTGCAGTGCACGTCGAGCGCGTACGAGTGCGTTATTACAGATGGACACGTGTTCGAGGCTGCCCAGGCTGCAGTCTGTATTCCAGAAGACGCATGCAATCTGAGGATATACGTAGGTGAGCAATTGTATAAAAAATCCTTGAAATTCGAGAATGAAATTGCGATTGAAGTTTTTTTGTCACTTTTTCCGTAAATATGATTACTCATTTCGTATTCGAGTAACCGAAATCGTTTAAAACTTTTCTCTGATACTTGGCATTGGACATAGAATATCGAAAGGAAAATCCACTAAAGTTAAAAAAAAGACTAAACAGTTAGATATGATTGAATAGTACAATGTTTAATATAATAATATAATACTAAAATAATGTATAATATAATGTTCAAATAGTATAATAATATAGTAGTATGAATAGTATAATGTTTAAATAGTATAATAGCATGATAGTATAAATAGTATAATGTTTAAATAGTATAATATCATAATAGTATGAATAGTATAATGTTTAACTATAATTATAAAAACCCTTAGAATAAATTAATGTATTCATAGTAACCGTAGCATATACACCAACAAATCTTTTATGAACAACATGATTTTCTAAAGAGCGAGAATGGTTTTGGAATGATTCATTTTTGGTAGATCTAAAGTATGTTAAAAAATAAAGCATGGAAATTTTAGCAAGCTGAACTGTGATTGACATTAACTTGATAGGTTAAAAATTTTATTAACAATAAATAATGTGTTTAATTTTCTTCAAAAAAATTGATTGATTTTTTTTTTTTAATTTAACCTTGTTTTAACAAAGTGAATATTGGATGAACTTATTACACTAGTACATATGACAATTTTTAAATTATTCTTTCGAACATGTATGTTAAATT